ATATCCACATTAAACATCTCTGTCAGTCCTATACCAGTGTAATTCTTATAGTTTCCCCCCAAAGTATCCTGGGAACTATAGTTCGGCAAGGCCATAGCCCTCCAAGACATTTTTCTGCCCACGGTGACGGTCCTATTCCTTGTAGAAACCAGCTGAACTGACCATTCCATTCTAATTCAACACTGGCAGTGGAAGAGTATCTTCTGGTACACTTAAGAGATTAGGGCAATTTTGAAACCTCCTAACAGGCTGTTATAATGGGAAACAGTTGTGGCATCACAGGGTAAAAGTTAAGATGGCTGCCACCCCAGCTTCTGCTACCAGAGCCAACTTCTGCGTAATACTAAAATTAATATAGGCAAAGATACTTGACATTCTCAGTGAATGATCCCAAATCCTTCCCCTCATCCCACAGAATTCTATTTCCCTGATGACAGAAAACAGTTATTTAAGAATGGGGATAGATTTAGCCATAGTCAATATTTTTTATGCGAGTTTTTCCCTCTCTAGGGAAATAGAGAGGTGGATATGGTGCCATGGATGTGACAGATGCTTAAAATACGTTTCAGTTCTTAATACAGTTCGTATCTCAATTCAAAAGGTTCACAGGCAGCAGGCCTGGGAAGGATACTTACTCAAAACTTTAGAGATAGAATTCCAGCCACAACGGAGCAGACAGCACTGGATTCAGCTGATATGATATGAGGCTGCTGTCCCAGAGAACTATGGCAGCAAATTTAAGGGATTACAAGTAATTACAGTGGACCCTCTACTTACGGAATTAATCCGTATTGAAACGGTGGCTGCAAGTCGAAAAGTCTGTAGGTCGAGTCTCCATTGACCTACAATGCATTGAAAACTGATTAATCCCGTAACTGGCCGTTTTTGTTCCATTTTTGTTCCCTTTTTTTTTCTGGTCTGTAGGTCGATTGTCCGGCTGCAAGTCGAACCTTAATTTTGCGGCCAGAGAAGTCTGTAACTCGAAAAGTCTGCAAGTTGAGCCGCCAGTAAGTCGAGGATCCACTGTAGACCTAGATGATTGTTGTGGGTTTTTCGGGCTCTTTGGCCATGTTCTGAAGGTCGTTCTTCCTAACATTTTGCCAGTCTCTGTGGCCAACATCTTCAGAGGACAGCACTCAGAGGACAGAGCCTGAAAAACCCACAACAACCATTAGATCCCGGCCGTGAAAGCCTTCGCGAATTAGACCCAGAGTTTAGAGAAGTCACTCTTTTAGACATAAGATGAAATCGTATTTCAAATTCACACTTGTGTCAGGAAAACTACATAAGCTTTGGCAGCAAATTACAAGTCAGTATTGAGGTACTGTTCATGTTCCTGAATATGTGCCACATCACACAGGTGCATGCCTAAGAATGTAACTAGCACCTTGATAACGAGTTTGCTTCCAAGACTTACATGATTTCCATTGCCCAAGTGTTAATGAGTGACAGGATTCTGGCCTACATCTGCTAGAATTCCACCAGTGAACATAGCCACTAACCATGGTGGCTGTGGGGATTCCGGAGACTGTGGTCCAAAAAAAGCAGTTTTTTGAGGTCTGAAGAGAACCTGTGTGTTCAAAAGGTAAGTATCATAACAAACAACAGTTGAATGCAGGTGCACCCCTGTGCTTTATGATGTACCTCTGAGCTGGAGAAATGGCAGCTGTGACACTGTTTTCAGACTACTGAGTCATAATCATATGTGTTGCCTGGGAAAGGAAGGAAATGCAAAACTGATGAGTCAGGGTGAGTTAGGTTCATCTTTTAGTGGCCACACAATGACGTAATGATCTTGAACAGTTGGTTCTTCATAGTCTCTGTGAATGCACATAAATGGGTTTTAGTGTGCCTGCGCAGAGACTCTCCGAAACTTCTAGAGCTTTAACATGTATTGTTTAGGACCTTCCTGCCCTGCCCATGCCACAGAGTGCCTCCGTTCCTTTTTTGCTGCCACTACAGCAGCACTTTGGCTATGGAGCTACTGATCATTCTGTAAAAAAAAAGAAAAGAAAAGATACTTGATCTCTTCAGGACCTTCTTCAATTTGTGAGTAGGAAAAAAAAGAAGAAGGCAGGGAAAATAAAAAACGAATCTTTTTCCTCGCCATTTTCCTGCCTGGGCCCTTTGCCCTTTTATGGCCTCTTTGGGCCCCTTCAACACTGTCCAAATAAAACAACTCTTTTGGATGGGCATTCCAAGTGCCTTTTCTGCTTAGGTGAGAGACACCAAACTTCGTTGTTCCAGGCCTGTAATAATTTAACTAAACCAGCGCTAAAACTTTGCCTCCAGCAGTTACGATCTTTCCTTTGGGAAAAACCTCTACCTCTCACCTTAGCACTCAACCGTGAATGCTAACCAGACCCAACCTGTAGAGCCATCACCTACCTCTCAAATGCTTTTGCCAACTTCAACCTACTAAAAAGGCCAAACCAATGCCTAAACCCAAGCCTTCAGTGTTGATGCCGAAAACCAGGGGTCCCTAACCCCTGGTCCACAGCCCGGTGCCAGTCCGTGGGCTTCCTGGAACTCAGCCCGGAGATGGATCTCCACACACACACACCGCACGCATGGTGGGCGTGTCGTGCTTGCGGAGAGGCATGTTAGGTACTATTGATGTTAGTGGCATTTACTTCCAAGTTAATTGTGCAAAGAATTGGTGCCTTAGTGCTACCTTAATAATAGGAATCCACCTTCAACATTTGTAGTTTTATCAAACCTTGACCTGGCAAATCTTTCATTGGATGAGAATCTGAACCTTTTAGGAGTTTGATTTCCCTAGATGGAAGAAATCTAGGGAAATTTCTTTAGAGAAAATGGGTGCCTGCAGAAAGTTGGGAGAGGAAAACGAAGAAGACAGAGGATCCTGTATATCCCAGTTATCTGGGAATGAGGAGGATGCTTGTGATGTAAGATTAAGAAACAGGGTACTTAAATTTTGAATTAGTGCATTGCAAATGACTGGTGGTTTCTTGTCTCCTTTAAGAAGGGAAGGGAAAGTCTAAATTTTGATCAGTCATGATGACAAAAACAAAACAGGCAAGGAGAAACTTAACGTTGCAAAACCCGGTCATAAATGATATGATTTTAATTTGTCTGATAATACTTTTTTCTTCATTTACTCTCTCTCTAACAGATTTTTTAAAAAACTGAAATGCAAAACACTGATAGCAAAAGCTGTGCCCTAGATAAGAACTGCACATGTGTCTTATTTCTTCTCACATTGTCAACATGTTCTCTTCACCCATCAGTGTGTTATTATAAACTGTGTGATGGTTTAGTGAAATGCCCAGAGATGATTAGGAAAAAAAATACATTAGACTTTGTGCATGTGGGAGTGGTCTGATTCTAAAGCATTCGCCAATGCATGAGGAAGGTGAATGTGTTTTCTATAAAATAAATCTTCTATTAAAAGTCCTGTGTTCTAGCCATTACACATTGTGTGTTCTAAGTTTTTATAGAAAACATGTATGCAGAGGAACAAGAGCACTTGTTTTCCATTAACTGGAGATTCACTGCTCTGTCCGCACTGCATTTCATTGCATTGTGCTGCAGGTTATTTTTAGATGTTACAAAGGCATGCTGGATAGAGCCATGTCCTAAATAAAACGGGAAGAGCCATTTCAGAGAACAGGTAGATCATTAATGATTTAGAAGGCAAATGTTGGGATTCACAGGTTTCGCTCTGTTAATTGCTCAGACTTGGAGGCACAATAAATTCATGCTAAATTAAAGTTTAATAGAAATGAATTGGAATTGACTGTGGATGGGTTCTTTGTGCACCGTAAGTGCTGTTACTTCTGTTTGTGGTTCTTTTACAAAGATATTTCCTCTTTCTAGACTGTTACACATGATGTTTAACTTTTCCTGTGAGGGATTTACATTGATTATCCAATATGTTTGTAAGATCTGTGACTGAGAGTGATGAGCCAGTTCCTTAATTTCAGTCATTTATGTCCTTGCTTCAGAAAATACATAGCATATGTTCTGGTTTTAAAAACCTACCTCATGCTTATGAGTTGCCTGGAAACACAACCATTACTGTGATGGAAATATATATACATATAATAATTACCATGGTAATTGTTCTCTAAAAATTTAGCTATTCCTTTTTTAATGTCATCCAGTCCGTTTTTACAATAGCTGTTCTTATTTAATAGCAGCTGTGTGCAGAAATCATAACATTGCATTTATTTAATCCTTCCTTTCTTCCTTTGTGTGTCAGTGTTTACTACTACTCTGTTTTGTTAAGTGATTAGTCTTGGTGAGTATAACATCGACAGAGCAATGTTTCTAAGCCACAGAGGAATATGTAGCCTGCAGTGTTTATTGTATTCTGTTATTTAGTATGTGTGTAGATACAGTAAAGCAAACTAATTTCTTCCCAAGATCTCCTCAACTCAGGGAACCCAACTGTACATTTTGTAAGTTTACATCTAAAGGTTTGAATTTCCCTCCCCCCAATTATATACCTGAAGACCTGAAGACATAATGTGTGACTGAGAAAAGCATGTATTGGTAAAGTATGTATCCTACAGCTTTTCTCAACAGAGAGGATAGTCTGCACCTGCTTGTTGAGTATGTTTTTGGTGGTATATGTTTTATTTTGCCAATTACAGTTGAACTGCCCTTCAGAGGTAGCTGTTGGGACACCTCAATATCCTGTTACAGTTCATGTCCCCACTAAAATATTAGATAACCACCTAAATTGGAAGTCAGGGTTTAGAACATGATGATGAGAACGGGTAGCAATCGGTTCCTGTTCCATCTGTAATGGATGCTGTAGAATATGGTGACTTGTTCTGTTCCTGCTTACCTGTGAGGTCTGGCCAGCTATAGAATAGAATCCTTTGGAATCAGCTATTGTGAAGTAATGTGGAACTTTAAGATTTGAGATGTAATTATTTTTCTTCTTTCTTTCTTTTTTTAAAAAACAACAACACCTGCAATAAAAAGCTGAGATGTCACCTTCATTTAAAACCAATATGTATTTATTCCAGGTCTGATGTTGTTGTCCTGTGCTTTTCCATTGCTAACCCTAACTCCCTGAATCATGTGAAAACTATGTGGTATCAAGAAATCAAGCACTTCTGTCCTCGCACCCCTGTTGTTCTGGTTGGCTGTCAACTGGATCTTCGATATGCAGATCTGGAAGCTGTGAACCGAGCTAGAAGACCATTAGCAAGGTAAAACTGAGAGACTGAAAGAGTCATATGCTCACTTGTATTTTAGACTCTGTGAAATATACAGTTTACCATTCTGCAGAGCTTACAAAAAACATAGTTTGGTTAACTTAGCTCTAAGAGTCCCTCAGATAGCAAGGCTACAGGGCAGATTCTGGGAATTGAATTCCAAAGAACTTATTTGTCCAGGCTCTGTTCCCAAAAACTATATAGATATAAAGCTGCCTTATGCTGGTTCAGATTTATTGGCACATCTGTAGGGCAGTACTGTCAGTTCCACATGAAAGTGACCAAAATCTTATTATGCAAGGCACACCTCTGGGAGAGTAATGACCCAAAAGGGCAGAGTTTCAGTGATTAAAAGAGTTTTTACCTCTGTCCCGCAGCTTGTCCAACTCAGGTGTATTCAGTTTCACTGCATGCAAGCTTCAAGAGCCCTGGGACACAAGGAGGGGATTTTTAATTACAGAATTAATTAAATTTTGGATGATGTTGACAGCTTCCCAGAATCTGTTAGCTAGATATTCTTAAAGCTGAAGCTGGTGAATGCAAAATATTCATCCCAGTTTTGGGATAGAAATGTAAATCTACTTCACAAACACAGAGCCACAGTGTAAAAATTCTAAACCTTGCTACAGAGACAGTAGTGGTCCAGTCTCACAAGAAGAACTGATAATTTATCCTAGATACATAACATCAATTTCTGGACAATTTTTCTGCATGAAAGGGTTGTGCTTAGAGGCAAAGAAAGTGAATTTCATCTACAAAAGCGTGGTGTTTTTTTTACCAATAAGAGGTATCACCTACTTTTGCATGTGTGTACAGTTCCTTCTTTTCTCAAAGAGAAACCTGTTTTGTGCAAAAACAAAACAAAACAAAAACACACAAAAAAAACCCCCACAGAAAATTGATGTCCTTTGTGGTACAGAAAAGTGTTTAAAATAAAAAGATAACCTAAGAAGGACCTTGTTGGATCAGCATAAAGTTCAAGCATCCTATTCCAGATGATGGCTAGCCAGATGCCTCTGAGATGTCTGCAGCCAGGGCATAAAAGGGGGGGAAAGCGTTTTGCATCTCTCTTTCATATGTTATTCACAGGTATGTTGAGGTTCTGTTTAACTCTTCTTTAATGAAAGAGCTTGCCTCCACAAACCTTTTAAAAAACTATTTAACTGATGGCAGAATCAATATTCTTTGCAATGAATTTCATAAAGTTAATAGTGTATTGTACTTGGTAGTATTTCTGTAATCTCATACAAGGGAAACTTGACCATAGCAGAGGCTACTAGGTGCCATTATGATATCAGTTTTAGAAACACGGAACAGTTTGCCACATTACATTTTATCTAGTCACTTACTGTGCAGAATTGGTTGATGAAAATAAGAGTGTTGGGGAAAAGTTTTAAAGCAGCTGATTAAAAAAATGCCAATCCATGTATTGTACACTACCAGGTATTAGAAACATACTGTTCTTCTTTAACCTATCTTCCTAAAGTCTTTTAATGCTAATTCTCATTACAAATATAAGAGCAATATGCAGATTTAATTGCTAGATTAATCAACTAAAATATGATTATTGATTCACTTTAAAATTTATTTAATCAAATTGTAGTTCTGCCAGCCATAAATTTATACAAGCAGTTATTAAATAATTAAAATTTAAACAGTGAAAACTATCGTATCTCAGGGCTGTCGTGGTGGCACAGTAACTCCAAACACTTTCAAACATCTCTAAAAGTAGTTGCTTATAACCTTAAATAGTTCCTCTAATATTAAATGCATTTCAAAATGCTTTCATACCATCAGTAGTTGCTTATAACCTTAAATACCTTAAACATCCATTCTTTCTTTGGTGAAAATAGTTCCTCTAATATCAAATGCATTTCAAAATGCTTTCATACCATCACTACGTTCATAGCTGTTGTTCCCAATTCATCACCCAGTGACCAAGCTCCTGTAACAAACCCTCTCTGTGCTTAGGTTTGAACAACACACGTGCCGACCACAAAGGCCATTCCTTAAGTTTAATCCACATGTAAGAACTCAGAGATGGGAAGCATTACTGAGTATGGTGGTTGTGGGTATTTTGGGATTGGTAGTTGTTGATTTTTAATGAATATTTCCCTTCTCTGACAGAACCTGTTAGAGATCATGCTCCACTGGGGTACCTCTTGAGAGCCCATGTCCATCTCAACACCCCAAGGAGCTGGTATAAACAGAACATTATGAAGGACTGATTGCACATTACGCTTAAAACCAAGCTGTGAGTTGGAAATTGTTGCAGCTTGGAACAAATTTAAGTCTACATCCAGCAAATGTCAATAGAATGTTGTCAATAGAATGTTGAAGAACAGGAAAAGAAATGTAGGCTATGCTTACACCAGGAGGTTACAAGTTCTTTTTTGTGCAGGTTGCACTCATTACCGGGTATAAAGAGATGAGACCTGGAAACTGCATCCAGTTCTTTTATGCTACTTTTCTTTTGCTTGATTCACAGACCGATCAAAAGGGGAGACATCTTGCCACCAGAAAGAGGCAGAGAGGTTGCAAAGGAGCTTGGGATACCGTATTATGAAACAAGTGTGTTTGATCAATTCGGGATCAAAGATGTGTTTGATAATGCAATTAGAGCTGCACTGATCTCCAGGAGACACCTACAGTTCTGGAAATCACATCTGAAGAAAGTCCAGAAGCCTTTACTTCAGGCTCCATTTCTACCTCCAAAGGCACCTCCTCCAGTTATCAAAATCCCAGAGTGTCCTGTCACCAGTATCAATGAAGCTGGATACTTACTGGACAATCCACTCTGTGCAGACGTCATGTTTATCCTTCAGGAACATACCCATATTTTTGCTCACAAAATCTACCTAGCTACCTCCTCTTCCAAGTTTTATGACCTTTTCTTAATGGAATGTGAAGAAACCCCAGACTTGCCTGATGCACACTGTCATAAGGAAAAAGCCAGTAGAACCCTCTCGGACAGGGCATGCAGCTTTGAAATAAATGATAACGGTGAGGTGGCAACCGTAAATTCCTCTAACACCAAACTTACATCATCAGTAGATAGCAGTAATGCTTTAACAAGGCTAGAAGTTGAAGCCGGGGAACCTAGCTACATGAAACAAGCGCCAACATTTTGGGGCAAAGGTTTTGTCAGCATGCATAAAGAAGTGCTGGTCAATCCTGTTTCAAAGCGGACATGTACTGTAACAGTAGTCAAGATAGATTCTTCCATTCAGCCTGGGCCTTTTAAAACTGTTTTGCAGTTTTTATATACAGGGCAACTGGATGAAAATGAAAAAGATCTCACCAGGGTAGCTCAGATTGCCGAGATACTGGAAGTATTTGACTTGCGGATGATGGTGGAAAACATCACAAATAAAGAAGCCTTCATGAACCAGGAAATCACAAAGGCTTTCCACGTCAGAAAAGCTAACAGGATAAAAGAATGCCTCAGTAAAGAGACATTTTCTGGTAAGCATCCATGTACACTTTCCTATTCTCCTTGTGAATTAACCCACAACAATCACTTCAATAATAGTTTTATTTGCAAAGCAGTTTATATACTACTTTATGTGGGAGAGAGTGGCCCAGTTCAGTCATGCAAAAGCCAGCAGGGGAGAGCAAATCCAGCCCCATGGAGAGTATACTGTAACACATGAACTGTGGCCCACAATGATAGGTGCTGCTTCCCTGTAGAAATTAATGGGAGCAGGGCAGCGAAAACAAGACACGTCGCTGCTCCACTTCCAACCATAATTTCCTGTAAGTTGCACCTATTAATGGGTTTGTATGGGCTCACGTGCCATCAAGTCAATTCTGACTTCGTATCTGGCTGCAGATCCAGAGGTTGGGAGTTTGATCTCGTACTGTGTCCTTCAAGCCAGCTTGTGTGGCCTTGGGCGAACTCCATAGTCCCAGGGCATCCCCCTCCCCCCAAAAGAAGGGAATGGTAAACCACTTCTAGGTATTATTTATCTGGAAAACCCAGAAAAGGGTTGCCATAAGTCAGAATGGACTTGATATAGCACATCGTCGTTGCATCAATGTGTATTACCGTATTTTTCGCTCCATAAGACGCACAGACTTTCCACCCCCCCCCGTTTTGTGGGAAAAAAGTGCGTCTTATGGTGCGAAAAATACGGTACTTCCTCTGTGTGGTTGGAGCCACAGATATTCTTCCTATTAAGGCTGGTGGCAGAAATGAGGAATGGTTGCCTCCATGAGCTCCCAATATCCCTCATAGTTGGCCATGTTGTCTAAGGCTGATGAGAATGACAATCCAAGAACAACCAGATAGGCCCCGCACCTGGGTTATAGAATAGCTAAACAAGACTCTTATGGTACGATGGGTAACAGCAGTAATAGAACGGAAATCTTGGATATCCAGGAACAAATTTATCTTCGACCCTTCACATACTAGATGTCTCTGAGTGATTCTTTCTATGCCTCAGTTCTAGGCCTGTTAAATAGAAATATTAATGCCTCCTCATGTAAGAACTATAAACAGTGTGGGACTTTTTGTTGTAATACGCCTGCACTTTAACCTAGGCCCAGTATGAGGGAAGAAGTCCATACATAGACAGGCTGCTTCACTTCTTTGTTTACCAGCTGAGAGCACTTGTAATTCTAGTCCTGTATTAAAAATTAATGCTAGCAGAACTTCGATATATAGACCCCAAATTAGGTCGAACTATGGGCACATCTAGGTGTGTGTTGCCCAGTACCTCTACGGGGTTTACACCAGAATGGATTTGATTTAAATCAAGTCAATCATGATTTAAATCACTAGTCAGTAACACCTGATTTAAATCCATTCTTGCTGGTTATAATCTTTAATATTTGCAGCCAGGTGAAGATTTCATATTTAGAATCATAACCTGTCAGATTAGTAAAACAGCTATTTCAGAACAGATTTTAATTTAATAGGTTAATCCCTCATATTTGGAGAACTACTTAAATTGTTTTATTTAACTAAAACTATTTATTTATTTATCCATCCATCCATCCATCCATCCATCCATCCATCCATCCATCCATCCATCCATCCATCCATCCATCCATCCATCCATCCATCCATCCATCCATTTATTTATTCATTCATTCATTCATTCATTCATTCATTCATTCATTCATTCATTCATTCATTCATTCATTCATTCATTCATTCATTTGATTTATATCCCACCCATCTGGTAGATTCTACCACTCTGTGCGGCTTCCAACATAAAATATGTACATTAAAACAGTACAAACATTATAACATAATTCATAACAGATACAGTGCCTAAGATATAAAATGAAATAAAATAATAAATAGGGGAAAGAAAAAGAAACAAGAGCTGGCAGGAGGGAAGGCCTGGATGAACATCCATGTTTTCAGTTGGCTTTTAAAGGTACCCACCGTAGGGGCCTCGCGAATCTCCGGTGGGAGTTTATTCCAGATGTCTTCTAATCTGTAGGAATAATTGGGACTTTGAATATTAAGAATTGTTATTGCAGATATTCAGAACTATCAAAATTGGATTTATTCAGAACTATCCGAATACGGCATTATTCAGTGAATTCCAAATATTTCTGAATCCAAATGGACATCCCTAGTCTCACTTTATAATAAGCAATTGTAAATTCCGGCACAAAGATGAAGTCATTTGTACACCTTCACCTCCCCCTCATTTCGGAGATGATTCAATAATGGTATTTTTACAGATTTGCGGAGGACGTCTTCCTCTAACCACTGCAAAGCCTCCCCCTCCCCAATATCTGATGCTAAAGTCTAAAGCATCCTGGTGGGTCTGATGTGAGTCACAGTGACCCTGACTCATTCTCCTGAAACATTCAGGCTGTTTTTCTCTTTCTTTTGGCAATCACAACACTGGTGGTGAAGATGGTTGTTTTTTTTCAAGAGATAGTAGATGGTGTTACGCCTGCTTTAGAGAGGTGTTTTTTGAGACCAGGAGTAATGACGTGGTTTTGTTAAGACACAGGCTCACAACTGAAAAGGAACCTGAAGTTTTGTCTTCCGGAATCGTGAAGCACAAAAAAACCCTACATCCCACTTTCTCTCTCAACCTACAGCTTCCAAGCCTCCCGACTTTGGAGAACTTGTTTCTTCATTAGAAATAGGAAGTTGCTTCTGGGCCATTAGTGACTGGCATCGCTTCCTCGGTGACATTGCAAAGCCCCCACCTACTGACCTTTGCTGTTTTAGGCTTCTCCGGAAATATATGGCTTAGAGCATAGATTCCAAGATCATTTCAATGCATATCTGCTCAAAAGCAAATTCCCAGTAAGTACAGTGTAATGTACTTCTGAATAAATGGGTGTAGGATTGCAATTTGACTGGTAAAAGTGCCCATGTGTAAGTCAGTGTGATCTAAGGATCTTACATCTGGCATATCACTGTATTCAGTATCTGATTCTTAGCTCTGTTATCTCATTAGGAGAAAGCTTGCTTGGCTATTGTGCTTTACTCCAGATACAGGATGTTGCTGTCTTAGATGTTAGACATACCTTTTAAGAAGTGCCAGGGTGGGTTAAATTAAATCAAGTCTATTTAAATCAGTATTTAAACCATGATTTAAATCACTGGTCAGTAAGGCTCCATTTAAATCGATTTTTAAATGTAAAGGTTCATTCTTGCTGGTGATAGCCTTTAATATTTGCAGCCAGATGAAGATTTCATATTTGGAACAGCAATCTGTTTGATTAGTAAAACAGCTATATCACAACAGATTTTAGTTTTATAGGTTAATCACTCATATTTGGAGAACTACTTCTGTTGTTTCATTTAATTTAAATATATATATACATATTCTTATATTTGCTTAAATATCAATACTTTACTTTTGATACCTGCAGTCACTAGGGAGAACTGTATGAAGTGTTAGGAATGTCATTACATGTGCTGCTTGGGTTCACACAAACTCGGCACAGGTTTGGATCGACTAGTTAATTTGTGTTTCACTGGTATAAATGAAGCCCTTAATGTCTAGATGTCAGTAAGAGAGGACTAATGAAGTTGTTGGTTTCATGGAGGCCAAGGTTTTCTTTCCCATTTCTAATTTGAAAAATCAATTATGTACCCTTTTCTGTGTCCTTAATAAAGCCAAGCATTTACAATAATTGCACGAGGGAGACGCCGGTGTTCTCTCATATTGTGTCCTACTCCAAGTATCATATTTTACTGCAAAGCACTTGCCCTCATAGGTTATGGTTCTGTTTCTTTGATCCCATGGCAGATGTGACATTTAAGTTGGAAGATGGAAACATAAATGCTCATAAGCCGCTGCTGATCTGTAGCTGTGAATGGATGTCTGCAATGTTTGGAGGCTCATTTGTTGAAAGCTCAAACAGCGAGGTATTTGTCCTCTTTGATGTATAACCTCCATAACATACCATACGCTTTGCTCTTTGGGATGTTAAATTGCAGTTCTTTAAATAATTGCATGTTTTTGAATGGATTTGTTATCCTTCGTTTAGAGAACATACCGTGTTTCCCCGAAAATAAGACAGGGTCTTATATTAATTTTTGCTCCAAAAAAATGCATTAGGCCTTATTTTCAGGGGATGTTTTATTTTACAGTCCATCTTCTGGTTGCTGCACAATGGTGGAGGACGGGGTTTCACTTAACTGGGGCTTATTTTTGGGCTAGAGCTTATATTACAAGCATCCTGAAAAATCATACTAGGGCTTATATAATCAGGTTAGGGCTTATTTTCGGGAGGAAAGGGTATTTACCTTTGAGTACTGACTGACTCTCCCTTCTGGAATAATTTCACTTAAATCAGTTTTCTCTAGCAATTTCTTTTGTCTGTTTCCCCTGCTGGAAGGCCAAGCTAACAGTTAAAATTTTTAAAAAGCCAGTGCAGATCCCCTTGTACCCTTGTTAAGTACAGGAGGATCTTTTTAGATTAAATTGGACAGAAAGAACCAGACAGACAGAAACTCTTCAAGCTTCTCTTCTGGAAGTCCACAAACCACGCATGTATGGGAAACTTGCAGCCCTCCAGATCTTCTTTGTTTGTGTCAACCAGCTTGGCAAATAATAGAAAAGGAGCTGTAGTTCAGCAGCATACAGAGGCCCACGGGTTCTTCACTCATGAATGGGAGGTTCCTCAGCCTTCTTCTCACCCTGTTGCAATCCAGATGTCTTGGACTGTTGTGGGAGTTCAGCAAGTCTGGTGAGGACCAGGTTGGAGAAGCACCATCTGAGTCATTGTTTCCCCATATTCTCAGTCCAGGCCCCACCTTAGTTTATTAGAGTGCCCAGTAAATTTCACTTTGCTATGTGGGTATTTGAATGGAGTACTATAATGCTGATCGTAATATGGAAGAAGACTGTGGCTGTAATCCTGTTAGACAGTTGTGCAAACAGTGGACCTTTTAGGTACAGATTGTTGTAAGTTAAGAAATCTCCATAGACATCATCTGTTGCATATTGATTAGTGTGCCTCAGTAAACAACACGTCTACAGATTTTTTTTTTAACTCCAGACATTATGCTGTTCGCATAACTGTACCACAGGATTTCAGCCTGTAAGTTTTATTTGGAGTAATTTTGAGTAAAAGGTTTTATGAAAGAGAGAGGACTCAGCCTAGCATTGATTAATTCTGATACACAGATGTTGGGAATAATTTCCTAATTATTCATGTTCATCATGTTTGAGCCACAACGTCTTTGCTTTCAGCTTGATTATTGAAGGAATGTGTCCACATCAAGAGGAAATGTTACACTGCTGCATTGCCGAACCATTTCTCTCCCCCCCCCCACCTTTTTTTCTTTGCATTTAATATTCTGGAAGTCTGTGTTCTACTTATTTTTTTTCTCATTACTTTTAAAAACAACAGTAAGCATAATTCCCTCCCCAGAGGCACTCTCAGCAGGTGGTTCATTAAAAATACATACCTTGATTTTTTTTAGCAAGCAGGGCTGTACAAAAAGAACATATATTCGCATGTGTACTTTCTACAATCTGGTTCCTAATTATAAACTCTAATAGCTTGTGTTCTTCTTGGTAACCTTAAATATTAATTGGAAAGCCTTGGATTTTTGTAGATGTAAAATGCTGTGTCTGAAATCTTTCAGTTCAAACGTATGAAGATAGTTATGCAAATTGAATTGGAGAAGTAGCTGGCTTTAAGAGGCCTATAGGATGTAATGACTGAGGCAATTTGATATAAATATAACGAGCTCCTCCTAATTTATTTATTGTTTTGAAATTCTGCAGGAAGAGTGAGGTATTTGCAGCAGTAAGTCATGCATTTACACTTAGTTCTTGCAGCAGCCAGCAGTGATAACTCTTCAGTGTTCAAAGCTTCTCTGCCTTATATTAAACCATGGTTGAAGATGGTGGGTCTCTGTCCTCCTCTAGTGGCAGCTGCATAACACTCTACCTTTTCTTTTTAACAGTAGTAGACTACAATTACTTTTGCAAAGAATAGTAGATTTCTGCATCCATTTAGGTCTCACAGTAAGACTGAGTAAATATTTCTTAAGAAGGTGAGTGAAAGGTTGCAGCACTTTTTGCACAAATCAGCTTTCTTAGCATTCTCTCGTGAAGAAAGAATGTCTACTCAAAATGCTTCAGGAGCATCTATGGTTCCTGCATGTATTCAGACATTTTGCTCCCTGTAAACCATGTGCTACATTTCAGCAGCATTGCATTCAGCTTTCATCTTGGGATAGCTCAGAGTTTTTTCTTTGGGAAAGGGAGAAGATGAAATCCCTTTGGGGGGGGGCAAATAATGGGGGGGGGAAACGAGTCCAGGCAGGAGATGAGGGCTCCTTGTTTACCTTTCCCTGTGTGTCTAGAGCAGTGGTCCCCAACCTTTTTGACACTGTGAACGGTTGGGGGAGGACGGGGTCTGTGTGCCGGGAAGGCGGGGCACTCCCCCCTGCGCTCATGTGTATGTGCAAGGGGGCAGGGCGCATTCGCATGGGCATGCATGCATTCATACACATGCACGAAGGGACGGGGGCACTCAAAGGGGCTGTGGGAGGAGTGTGTGCGGGGGGAGATATTTCTCTGTGGCTCAGTCCAGCCCACGCCACGGACCGGTACAGGGCCGCGGACCGGGGTTGGGAACCCCCGGTCTATAGAACTAGCTCCAGATTTGAGGGGCCCTTGGCAAGGTGCCCCTTTCTAATTGGAGTCTTTAGATCTGGGAGCACTACCATATTGTGTGGTAAAGTGGCAGATAAAAACTGTAGGGAGTAGCAAATCTCTGATGGCCACATTTATGTGCGAGTTGTCATTTTGATTTTTCTCCGAGTGCCTTGGTCCTTCCATGTCCCCTTTCTTTTGGCTTGCAGGTCTTTCAATTTCCTAGACAAATAATTCCAGATAAGCCTCTTGTTCTGTATGCACACTGAAACAGACATTAAAGTTGACTGTGGAAGAACCCAACATACCAGAACAGACCCACTTCACACAACTCTGCAAGGCCTACTATAAATAAATGCAGATGACATTCAGACATCTCTGTGACTGCATTTGTGAGAAATATTTCCCCCATCCTTAATAAAAAAGAGAATATGGCAATGAAATTGAAGAGACATTTATTTATTTATTTAAAATGTTTATACCCCACTGTTCTCCTTAAAAGAACCCAGTTAAGGTGTGATTGTCTCTTCACTACACTCTGGGGAACGCCTGATACTTAAAGCATTATCATGGTCTCTGGATTCTTGTGAAGTTACTTGTACATATTAGAGAGTTCAAGGCCCTCCCCTTATGATGAATTTGCAGTAGGTCAGTAAAACCAGGGAAATATGGAGATTTGTGTCTGTCTGTGTGGTAGGTTTGTAAAACATTTTGATAAACCACAATATCCTCATGCCACTGTCATATGTTTGGCATTCTTACATGCCCATAGCATAAGATTTCAGTCAGCCAAATAGTTTTTATACCGGCCTCTAGGAAGTAATAGAAATGAACGTGATTCTTGTATGAGGCCGATAGAAGAATTTGTTAAGATTCTTCTCTTTGTTCGGCACATGGTATTCTTCAGAGATCTCCTTAACATAGGATTTTGAGAAGCAAACTTCATCAATCTTCCATCAAAATTTGAAGAAGATTGCTCCCCATTTCCCATTATTTCTTTCTCTGTAAATATGAGTACTGTCTATAAAAAGATAGGATGTAGAGTGAAGCGGAAGGAAGTGACTGACTGTCTTCTAAGAGAACTGTTTAATAAAGCAAAGAAAAGCTTGGAGTACAAGAAATATTAGCTCTTTAATAGGACTGAGAGGAATTCAGTTTTTAATTATATGTAGCTGTGTAGGTAAAACAAAATAATGAGGGTTAATAATGGGTTGTGATGGAAGAGTTATGAAATTCCCAGTGATATAATGAGAAATTCTTCCCATGGAGGTTATTTCTCTGTTTGGGAGGGCTTGCTCTTTGATATGAAGGAGCAACATCCAATAGAAAAGGTGGATCTCTCTGTTGCTACTGCATATTAACAACATTTTATTAGTAATGTTTAAAGGCCTTTTGAATATGAGAAGAGGCACCTTAAGTGCTGAGAGCATTTGGTGATCATAGTAGGAGCTTTTCACCCTCCCATTATTGTCTGATGAAGGGAACTTGATCCATGAAAGCTTACATTAAAATATAGCAGTTAGTCTTTAAGGTGCCACCATGTTTTTGTTGTATGTATGTATGTATGTATGTATGTATGTATGTATGTATGTATGTATGTATGTATGTATGTATGTATGTATGTATGTATGTATGTATGTATGTATGTATGTATGTATGTATGTATGTATGTATTTACTTATTTATTCTATTTATACCCATTTTTCCTGCTGCCACAGACTCTTCTAAATCTACTCACCCTCCCATGGTTTGCAAATCAGCTTGCATTGTTCTGTGATTGGTCGTTAGGAAGTAACAGCTTTGTAAGTATTTTTTAGATCAGCCAGGTCTGCTTGCCTCACACATCTCTAGAAAACAACAGTTACAGTTGCCGAGTTTAGATAATCATCATATGGTTTGGCTCTTAGAAGGAGGGAAAAGGGGTTCCATCAATAATGTTGTGATGTGTTAGCAACTCATTTTATCCTTCTCATTTGTTCTCTTTCTTTCTCTCATAAGGACCAAGCATCACCTACATCTTGCTTTAACAGCACTCTGACAACACAGTTAACATTCAACATTTAAAAAAAAAAACACATTCAACATTTTCAGCTTGAAGTGATGCTCTCCTACCATTTCTAAGCCTCTTGCTAGCATTCCACATTTGTAACACAATCTCTAAGAATGAGACTGCAAAACCAGGAAGCTGAGGGCAATCCCTTAGAAAGCCACTTCTAGGGTATAACCTGACACCCACTGACGAGAGAGATTATGA